ACCGTATCTTCCTTCCTGGGACAACTGTGGAGGCGAATGCGGTTCGTGTTTCATTGACTAAAGGTGCACCAGGCGACGCGGCGTACCTGTTTGACACACCTGGGCTTCTTCCCCACTGGCATCATTCTTCTCCTCTGACGTTGCTACAGATGCGTCGCACACTTATTCGGAAGTATCGGAATCCACAATGCTTTATCCTAATGCCTGGAAACACTCTTTTTCTTAGCGGTTTGGCTGCCATTGATGTTGTAAAGGGAACATCGCGCGGGATGCTGTTTATGGTGTATACCTCTCAGAAGGTTTGCAACGCAATCATAGCTACTGAGCGATCTGACGAATTTTGGCAGGACCAACTTGGAAAGGCATTGGATCCGCCTGGTTCATTGGAGCAACTTGGTGATCTTCGGTTAACTGAGTCGAAATGTTATCTTTTTGAGTGCTACCCTCGACATCGTCGCCGTCCAAAGGCGGACGTGTACGTCTGTGGTATTGGCTGGACCTCATTTTGTGTGAATGAAACATGCGATGTGGTGTTGCGTGTGCGCACACTGCCTGGCGTCATCCATGGCGTGCGTGAGCCCCTTCGCTACAAGGACCTATTGGCATTTCGCGGTTGGCCCAAGTTGAGGCGCCGCTTTACTGCTGCCGGTCTTCCCAGCGACGAGGGCGACTGGGACGATTCCATCGCCACCGTTGTTCGTCTCACGGCCGGCGGACCCGGTACTCAGACAACTGTGACGGGCGCCGAAGAGGACGGGGAGGAGGCATCGGCGGCGAAGTTGGTGCGCAAGGCGATACTTCCGCGACGTGTTTCGGCGTCATCGACCGCGTTTGACGTCATGCTGGCGGATCTCACGTTGAACGGGAGTGTCACACATACGAGGGGGGCGGACTCGGGTGAGTAAAAAAAGGGGTGGGTTGGAGAAGTAAAATTTTTCTCCCTCCTGGGGGGCACTGCCACCTACCGGCGCGGTGGTTGGTTGTTATTGTTGATTCTGTTTCTGTTTGTGAAAATTTTTTCTCTCCGCTTCGCACACACACACACACACACTCAAGCACCGTCTCTACTCTTTTTTTTTTTTTTTCCCCTTTCTTTTCTTATTTTGAATGGTGTCACCAGCCTTCAGCGAACGAGTGAGTTTTCTGTTGTTTTATTTTCTCAGACTTCACAAAACATCGACATAACAAAGCACCATGGGCTTCGAAACGCTTGCCGGGAGGGTTGGACCTTTTGCATACATGGTGTGCGCCTGCATCTCATTTGTGTTTGCAACTGTGTCGACGCCAACGTCGCAGTTTAAAGGAAAGGGGTACTTGGATGGAGGAAAAGTGTCGAAGCTGTCCTGCGTAACGGCCTGGGGAGTTAAGAATGAATGCACCAGCGATAAATACGATCTGCGCTCTTCAGAGATCAACTGTGACGGTAACGATAAAAGTTTACATCAGTTATTTCAGACTACCCAAGCCTTTTCCATCATTTCCA